AGAAAATAGAGAGGGGAAAAGAAACAAAGAGAAAGATACTAAAAGAAAGAAATAGAGAGCATAGAGAAGAAAAAGAAAAAGAAAAAAAGTATCTCCTAGCATTATTCAACCACCCAGAAACCGTTACATTCATTTAAATCAAAATATAATATTTTGTTGTCTTGTTACATAATATATTCTTTTTACATAATATATTCCATTATTCCTTTCTCCAGTCTGTCCAAATATGTATCTTTTCCATTTCAATGTCATCAAAGTTATGAGTTCTACAAAGTTAATTCTGAAGCTATTCCATATATGGTATCATCATGTCCATCTTCTGTTGCCACACCCTTCTTTGGTTGCCATGTTTATTAGTTCAGTTTTCATTGTTCCATTTAATTTCTTTCTAATCTTCAATAAATCCTCCAGTGAACATATTATGTATCCTAAATCAAGTTCTCTAAGTCTTTTCCTCAAAATAGTCAAGTTTAAATAACAAGCAACAAAGTTTCTCTTTTCAAGTAACAAGCAGCCTGGAATTTAGACTTTCACTTTTCATCTGGCAACCATTTTTTCCGTCTCCGTTTGTCTTTTTCCTTTGCTTTTGAAGGCATAATTATTTCCTCTTCTCCTTCCTCTCTCCCAAACAGTCCAATCTCATTTATCCACCAAAAAGTAAAGAAAAAATATATCCAGATCTGTGATCAAACATTTCCAAAAAGTCAGTAATTTATGTTATCCACCAACAGGTCTTTTGTCTTTGTGCCCCAATAGTTCTCAGCCGCTGTTAAGGCTGGGGCAGACTAATTGTAATTCAGCGTTTGTGGGTAGTTCCTGCCTCGGTTGATGTCCACTCACCCGGCATACAAACTCCCGGCTCCGCTCTCCGCTTCTCCTCTTGCACATTCTTGTATCCCAGTTGCTGCAGTCTCAGGGCAGCCGCCATGGCCGCCATTCCACCGGCACAGAGGGCAAGCCTCCGGCCCCGAGGAACCTGCCCGTTCCTCTCGGCCGTCCGAGGGGTCCCTCTCTATCCCCCTGTCCCTACAGGACAGGGTAGGTCCAAAGACCTACCGGCGGGAGCTTGGCAGATGGGGTTTTCATGGGGCTCCGAAGAGTCTGCTAATTCCCTGTCTATATTTCTGTGGCGCCAACCAGAAGTCCCGGAGCTCTCAGGTTGCCTTGATGCTGACCCTGACTCCCACACCTCCTCCTCCTCCTCCTCCTCCTCTGATTCGGCTGCTGGAGGGCCACAGGTCACAACAGTACCATTCTCAGCTTTCAAAAATTCAGATTAAGAGGCCATTAATCTAAGCACTAAATTGTAAGCATCCGGAGCACATGTCTGTCTGCGGAGGTTCTCCATCATTCAGGTCATGGTTGTCCCAAAGGTGCTTTTCAAAAGGCAACTGGACAAAAGGCATCTTTTCCTTGAACTGATGAAGCTTCTTGGATGAGAAGCGAAACATTTTCAAGTGAAAAAAAAATAATAAGAAAGTCCAGTTGCTCTTTAAAAATCATCTTTGGGCCATCAGGAGTACAAGCATCCTGAGCTCCAAAGGGAAGCCCCATTCCGTGACAGAGGGAGCAGCCCTAATGTGACGGATTTCATGGCCTGATGAAACAACCATCTTCTTCTTAAGGACTTTCTTGAAGCCAAGGGACCTGACAGTTTCTCATCTTTGGCAATTTTAAGACGTATGGCCTTCAAGTCCCAGATTTCTGGAAGTTGAAGTCCACGCCTCTTAAAAGGTTAAGAAACGTGATGCAAAGAGCACCAAGTCCACCCCCGAGGAGTTGAGGGCTCAGTCTGGACTCATTCGTAAGTTGAGAAGGAGAACTCTTTTTACACCTTCCTGGGTTGCGTGCCAAAGTCAACATTAGCTGTGAGGATGCAGGGAATATCAGTTGCCATGCTCTCTCTGTGTTTTCCAGCTCTTGAAGAAGATGAGCTCTAGCGACACCCCACTGGGGACGGTGGCTTTGCTACAGGAGAAGCAGAAAGCCCAGAAGACGCCGTACATCGTGCTCAGTGGCAGTGGGAAGAGCATGAACGCGTAAGGATGTGTGGGGAGCACGTATGAGGGGGCTGGTTTTAATAGTCCCTGAGAAGCGATGGTCTTCTCCAAAGTCAAGCCATCAGATGGCTGGCTGGGTGCCCTCTACCATTCCTTCCTGAATTTGCTTTTGTTGGGAGTGAAGCAGAAAATTATGGGGAAAAGACCATACCAGGTGGTGCTTATTCCTCCTTTAATTTAGTTAAGGCCCCCCTGCAGGAAAAGGAATTTGAGGGACGTCTATTTACATCTGGAATCTCTTCTAGTCATTCCTCTAACTTGACATCTCAGGATCTCATCTCTTTCTACTCATCTTCCAAACTAGATTCTCCCAATTTTGTGGGTTCCTCACTGGTTGGTCCAAGACTCCAGATGTGGTTCTCACATCCCTGGAGAGAACCACCTTCAGGATGATGTTCTAAGCCAGAAGTTTCCAATCTTGGCAACTTTAAGACTTATGTCCCAAAGGTGCTTTTTACAGGAGGCAACTGAACTTTGTTTTTTCTTTTGAAGACTGTCAGAACTGAAGAAGCTTCTTGGATGAGAAGCGAAACGTCTTCAAAGAAAAAAAACAAAGTCCAGTTGCCTCCCGAAAAAGCATCTTTGGGACAACCATGATCCGGTTGATGGAGAATCTCTACAGACTTTTAAGACTTACGGACTTCAACTCCCAGAATTCCCCAGCTGACATGGAGTTGAAGTCACAAGTCTTTAAAAATGGCAAGGGTTGGACACTCTTGGTTAGGACATCCTGAGAAGAAACTCAACCGAAGGATCTTTCCCGGTTGGGTGGGTGGAGAAGACTTTCACTAATTGTGTTCTTTCTCTCCAGAAACACCATCACAAAGTGAAGCACCAACTTCCTGTCGCTGGTGGGAACGCTTTGGATGCCGTTCTCCTTGCGGGATGCGCAAAGATCGTCTCCATCTGTTGCTCTCGGTGGGAATCTTGTTCACCGGGCCTGTACTCACCGGCCTTCCGTGTATATAGTTGTGGGGCTGAGTTTTAAAGCAACTTTTGTATCTCTGTGTGAAACCAAATCGCTGTAATAAAAATAGCCGAGACCTCATTATGTCGAAGCCTTTTCTTTCTGCATTCAGCGGAGGAATAGTTTTGAAGTTTTTGGGGTGCGGGAGAGAATACATTGAGCGGACTTTTCCTGTGAGGTTAAAGAAGGAACTACAGCTTTTTCTGCAGCCTGGATTCTAGTGGCTGTTTGGCTGGAGGGATGAGTTACCCAATTTCATGGCAGGTTTGTGTTACTGTGTGAAAGCAGAAAACTGGGTTAACTGAATAAACTGATTCACGTAACTGAGTTAGCATTATGCAAACACAACCAATTGTGTTTCACATCACTCCACATTAAATGGATTTATATATACTGTATAGTACAGGGGTCCTTGGTGCTCTCTGAGGTTGGTGGTTTTCTTGCAGACGTTTCATTACCCAATTAGGTAACATCATCAGTGCTTCGGATGGATAATGAAACTTCTGCAGGAAAACCACCAAACTCAGCACCAAGGCACCCACAATTCAGCCCTGAGCTGTAAGTATTCTCTTCTAGTGGTTAGAAATGTCAAGAAAATTATTCTGCTGTTAGGAATACTTGGAGAAAAGGTGAAACAAATCACCGCTGCCATTTACAACTTTTAATAGCTGGGTCCTCGTGTCTGTTCTACAGGTAATTTACAGGTTTGCAATTTAACCACAATTGCAAACCAGAATTTCTGTTGCTAAGCAAAGCACTGAGATGTGCCTGAATTTACAACTGGCTTTTTTTGCCAGTTGTAAATCACTTTTGTTAAGTGACTCATGTGGTGGTTAAGCGAATTCCGCTTTCTCCATTGACTTTGTTGGTCAGAAACTGGCTGGGAAGATTGCAAATGCTGGTCATGTGACTCCATCTTGAAACACCTGCATGCCAAGCACCTGAATTTTGATCACGTAATGGGGGTCGGTCATAAGTCACTTTTTTCAGTGCCGTTGTAACTTCGAGCAGTCATTAAATGAATGGTTGTAAGTTGAGGACTACCTGTAAGGCAAGGAACTTTTACTGGTAGTCTTTGACTTACAACAGTTCATTTAGTAACCGTTGAAAGTTACAACACTACTGAAAAAAGTGATTTAATGACCATTTTTCACACTTAATGACTGTTGCAGCATCCCCATGGTCACATGAACAAAATTGGGGTACTTCACAACTGACTCACATTTATGACAGTTGCAGTGTCCCAGGGTCATTTTGCGACTTTCTGACAAAGTCAATGGGGAAACCAGATTCACTTAACAACCACGTTACCAATTTAAGAACTGCAACGATTCACTTAATAAATGTGGCAAGAAAAGTCATAAAATGGGGCAAAAACTCACTTGGCAAATTTCTCACTTAGCAACGTAAACGTTGGGCTCGATCGTTAGTTAACTTTATTGTCATTGCACCTGGTACAATGAAATTAAATGCCATCCTCAGTGTACATTATAACTATAAAAATAAAACAAAAACACTTCCTGTATGCAATTGAATTGAAAACCCGATATTGCGTTAATATTGCACTCTACAGTAGAATTCAATATAGATACTGCTCTGAGATAGAAGCAGTTTTTCAGCCTATTTGTCCTTGTTTTTATTGTCCTGTACCGTCTGCCAGATGGTAATAGTTCAAAAAAAGGGTGCCCAGGATGAAATGGATCCTTAAGAACGTTTTGAACTTTCTTAAGGCAGCGGGAGCTATTATGGTCGTAAGTTGAGGACTATCTGTCCTTTCATTTTCCAATTCAGAGATTATTTTTTTAAGAAAAAAATAGAAAATAGGTATTTATGCAGCTCAATGATGCCAAGATTAAGCTGCTTAACCACAGGACTAATGAAAGCCAAATCATTTCCCCCTTTTGTAAACTGGAGAGATTTCACGCCCGTTCCCACAAAAATGGCGGAATAAAATCACGGATTTATTTGCTCGCTGCATTTGGAGTACGCGTTTATTAAATAAAGGCAAGAGAAATGGAGAGAATTAAGAGTACAGGCAACACAGCCAGTAGAGAGAAGCCAATGCACTGAACGAGGAACACCTTCCTCTCTTTAAATCTGCAACAGGTTGTTGCACATTTCACGCGGCCACCTCCAGCACTTAAAAAATCGAAGCCTTCAAACCCCAAACAGCCCAAAATTGGCCCCGAGAGTCAAAAATTGGAGGGCACTTTAGAGGCAGCACTTTTAACTGTGGGAATTGGAGTAACCCATTCTCAAAAACCCTGAGAAGAAGAATGCAAAAATAAAATAAAATGATGAACCAGAGAATTTCAACTACGCCCCCTTCTGATGTTAATGTCATCTCACCAGAGGGTCTCTGGTAGTCCGTTGGGAGGCTGAGTTGGGGGTCCTAAACCCCTAAAGCAGGGGTCTCTAAAGATGGCAACTTTAAGACTTGTGGACTTCAACTCCCAGAATTCCTCAGCCAGCTGAAGTCCACAAGTCTTAAAGTTGCCATCTTTAGAGACCCCTGCCCTAAAGGAACACCATCTAATAGTCCATGCTCACTTTGGCTGAGACCCTCAAGCCACGTTCCTTCCGGCTACACCAGGATTTCAGGGTTTGCTCTGCTCAGTAAATCGGGTGGTTATTTTTCTTCTTCCTCCGAGTCGCTGCTCTCCTCGCTCTCCATAAAGTTGTAAGTTATTCGGTTTGTGTTCACAAACAGGTCGGTATCATCATCTTCAGGATCCTCTTCTCCAGATGACTGAGGGGTGCTTTGTACCCCCTCTCTACTAGAAAGATGGGGGGGGAGTGTGGTTTGGGGGAGGAAGGGAAAAAAAACCCTTCAAACATTCCATCTCAATTATTTCTATCACACTTTTAAAGTGAGTTAAATTTCATCCAATTATAATTCAGGCGAAAGATTTTTAAATGTCCGATCTTAAAGCAAGCAATATTAATAATAATTTTACCATGCTAGTGTATTGTTTTTCAGGTTTAATAACTTTAAGAGCAAAAGCTACTTAAAATAGGCAACTTTCTGCCAAATTTTCACCACAGACTTAGGCAGTGGAGGATAAAGAGAAATGGCAGAATTGTAAAACTACTTTAGGTTATGATTATTATAATAATTAAGCTTAAGATCATACTAATCAGAAATCCATCAATGGAGATTTAAGGGTTTTTAAACAATTGAGCATCGGCATTTGAAATAAAACGTCAGTTATTGCTACATTGTTCTAAATACCAAGGCTACCTCCTGAATCCTGAAGTGTCTTTTTTCAAAATCTTAACATAAAATATTGATAATTTTCAGCAATTTCTTCCCTTCTGGGCATGTGCCATCCCCACATGTCCAGGTCTCCCATTTTATTTATTGGAATTTTTATCCTGCCTTTATTACTCGATATTACTTTATTACTTGATAAGCAATACAAAGGAATGAACATATTGCTTAGCGCATTGTAAGCCGCCCTGAGTCTCCGGAGAAGGGTGTTTGTATGTAGGTCTTTGGTTATTCGGGTCTTCTCCCACGTAAAATTGGAAGTGTCTTGGCGACGTTTCGACGAAGTCTCATTCGTCATCTTCAGGCTGGTGTTCTCGGCTTCGAAGCCGAGTGTCGCCAAGACACTTCCAATTCGAAGCCGAGTGTCGCCAAGACACTTCCAATTTTACGTGGGAGAAGACCCGAATAACCAAAGACCTACATATATATATATGTGTGTGTGTGTGTGTGTGTGTGTGTGTGTGTGTGTGTGTATTTAATATTTCGGGTTTCTTCCTGTGTAATTGTGGATATATCCCTAAAAGGGTAGAAGCGACGTTTCGACAGAATCCCATCTGCCATCATCAGGCTTATGTCAGCAGTCTTTTGCAGTAACTGCCGTTGCTATTTCAAATCTGGTGCTGGTATTCTGGGATGGCTCCACCTTTTCATTCTGATTGGTTGGGAGTCCCAATATGTGTTTATTGGCTTGGCTTCGGGTGTATGGTCAGTTTTTCTCCACTAGGTGGCAGGGCTTCATCTTTGTGGCTGGTTTGAATATGATTTGGTTGGGATTTGTTTTTTGATTAATGTTTGGTCTATGTTTTATATTTGGTGTTAAGATTCGTCTATCTATGAGAGCAGGTTTCCAAATAGTAGGCAGACGTGAAGTGTCATCCCGTTTATTCATGCAATATGGTCTTTTTTTATTTCAATTGCTTCTCTGATTATTCTGCCATTGAGATGTTCTATTTTTGCAACTGTTTTTGTGTTATTAAAATTAATATTGTGTCCTGTTGTATTTATGTGTTGAACTAATGATGATGTGTGTTCTTGTTTTTGTATTGCGCATCAAGGAACACAAAAACTCAATATTTAATATTTAAGAAACCCGAAATATTAAATATACACACATACATACCCGTGAAAACTTACATAAACAAATATATATATACATATACACAATCCTTCCTCCTCCTATTTTCCACGTAACAACTACCCTGTGAGGTGGGTTGGGCTAAGAAAGAGACTGGACCAAAGTTACCTAGCTGGCTTTCATGCCTAAAGTGGGACTAGAACTCCCTGTCTCCCGGTGATTGGCCCAAAGTCACCTAGCCAGCTTTCATGGTTAAGGTGGAACTAGAACTCCCTGTCTCTTGGTGATTGGCCCAAAGTCACCTAGCCAGCTTTCATGGCTAAGGTGGAACTAGAACTCACCATCTCCTAGTCTCTAGACCACCATCATAACCACTACCCCTAACCAGTTCTCATCCCCATCTTGTTCACCTTTACCTTTCTTTAGTATTGCTTTGAGTTCCTTTTACGTCTCCTAAGAAAGCATCAGGCCTGCAGGGGGAAAAAATATATAAAGTGTCAACATAATGTGGTAGGATGGTTTGTAAAAATTATTTCACACTTCAGAATTTCCATGTCTCAAACCGAGAAGCTGGAGTGAAGATCCCTTATATTCTTTTTATTTAAGGTTTCCTGCTTAGCAGAGGGTTGGACTAGAAGACTTCCAAAGCAGGGGTGAAATGTAAAATGTGTTACTATGGGTTCTGTGGGCGTGGCTTGGTGGGGAGGGTAATGTGACTGGGTGGGTGTGGCCAACTTTTTTTTTTTTTAACTTTTCAAAGCATTTTTTCTAATGCTTTGAAAAGCCTCTGGCAATCAGGCAACTCAGCTGGGATCATCAGAGACTTTTCAAAGCATTTTTTTACCACCTCTTCGGCCAAGAGGTTGCAGAAAAAAATGCTTTGAAAAGCCTCTGAGGATCCCAGTTGAGCCGCATAATCATCAGAGGCTTTTTTTTTACTTTTAAAAGCATTTTTTGGTCGGAAGAGGTTGTAAAAAAAATGCTTTTAAAAGTTTAAAGAAAAAAAAGTCTCTGATGATCGTGCGACTCATTGGGGCGGGAGGAATTTTTGCTACCGGTTCTCTGGACCACCCGCCGCCATCGCTACCGGATTGGGCGATCCGGTCCAAACTGCGAGCATTTCACCCCTGCTCAAGGTCCCTTCCAACGCTTTCTGTTCTGTTCCTTTGATAAAATTATTAAGAAAACAGATCCTTCCACTCAAAGATGTTATAAGGAAAATGGGCACATAAACTATTTCCTCTCCTTTCCCTCCAGAAGATGCCTGTCAGATCTGCCACCTTCAACTTCTCCGCTTTGCTGGCATCCTGTCTTAAGATGCAAGGGGGAAGGAAGGAGTAATGGAATGTAGAGAATAGAGATGAGAATGGGAAGGGGGGGAGGGGAGGGGAGGTAACAGCCTTGATGGAAACCAGAGGTGCCAGTACTAGAAAATGCCAGGCTTCAAGGACACCTGGCTTGAGAATGGAATGTGGAATTTATATATATATATATATATATATATTTGTTTTCTCAGGTTTTCGCAGGTGTTTGTATGTAGGTCTTTGGTTATTCGGGTCTTCTCCCACGTAAAATTGGAAGTGTCTTGGCGACGTTTCGACGAAGTCTCATTCGTCATCTTCAGGCTGGTGTTCTCGGCTTCGTGCTTCCAGGAGCAATGTGAGATCTCAGTTGTCTCTTCCTTTTAACTGCTAGTGGGGGTGTGAGCTGATTGGGTGGGGACTTGGCTGTGTTCTGATTGGGTGGAGGTGTGTTCTGATTGGTTAGGGGCTTGGCTGTGCTCTGATTGGATGGGGGGTTGGTTGTGCTCTGATTGGCTGGGGGTGTGTTCTGTTTGGGTGGGGGCTTGGTTATGCTCAGCTTAGTCTGAGTTGCAGGGGGATTTGAGCGTAAGGATGGGGTCAAGCCAGCCCGGCTAGATGGAATAGATGTGTTTTCAGGGCCTGACGAAAAGTCCGGAGGTCTGGTATCGTGCGTATCTCTGGGGGTAGGTTGTTCCAGAGGGCAGGTGCCGCCACAGAGAAGGCTGTCCCCCTGGGGGTCACTAGCCGACATTGTCTGGCCGACGGCACCCTGAGGAGGCCCCCTCTGTGTGAGTGAACTGGCCGGTGGGAGGCTATTGGCGGCAGAAGGCGGTCTCGTAAATACCCTGGCCCTAAGCCATGGAGCGCTTTAAAGGTGGTCACCAACACCTTGAAGCGCACCCGGAAGACCACAGGAAGCCAGTGCAGCTCGCGCAGGAGAGGTATCACATGGGAGCGCCCCGTCGCTCCCATAATCCCCCGCGCAGCCACATTCTTGACCAACTGGAGCCCCTGGGTGCACCCCAAGGGGAGCCCCATGTAGAGAGCATTGCAGTAGTCCAGGCGGGAAGTGATGAGTGCCTGAGTGACCGTGCTTAGGAAGTCCCGATTGTGCCAAACACCCAAGCCATTCCCAAACCATCTAAATCAGCGGTCACCAACTAGTGGTCCTTGGACCACTGGTGGTCCACGAGAAAGTTTTGGTGGTCTGCAGAAAAATTATTTGCATTTCTTATATTGCACTAAATCAGGGGTCCTCAAACTATGGCCTCTGGGCCAGATACATGCAATGAATGTTTGTATTGCTGCAGAGAGTCTCCCCCTTTGGGGTCTTTTTGTGTGGGTCGGAGGGGGGCAGAAATTCCGACTTGGGGTCTGCTTCAGCCTCCTGGTGTGGGGCTTTGGGCAAAGGCTGGAGGGAAGTGCCACTGGTGGGGAAGAAGCCGGAGGGCCTTGTTCCAGTGGGACTGCCTCATGGCCTGGAACTGACTGACCATCTCAGCCCACTGAGCCTCCAGGTGCCAGTACCTGGCCTTGCACTCCCACAGGTCTTCCCTCTACTTGGAAAGCCTATGCTCCTAGTCCTCAGTGAGGTGCTTCTGCTGAGCCTCCTTCTCAGTCAGATCCAATTTGAACTGAGCTGTTTTGCCAACTCTTTCTCATGGTGGCTGCTTAGCTTCAGCAACTGCTTCCTGTTGGGGCCCTAAGGAGCCCGGACGGGGAGGTAAGGAGTTGGCCACGCCCACCCAGTCACATGACCACCCAGCCGGTCATTAGGCATATCATGAGTGGTCCACGGGATTTAAAATTATGAACTTAGTGGACCCTGAGGTCCGAAAGGTTGGTGACCCCTGATCTAAATGACTACTGGACAGTGATGAACTGGTCAGGGTGGGTGGGTGGGAAGGCCAGGGAAAAGGGGAAAAGTATAACCTTTTGCACAGGAATATTCAGATCTAGCCATTCTTTCACTGCAACTAATTAGCCTTAGTAAAATCACTTCAGCCAAATGGAATCAAGGGTCTTTCTTTACTAAGTACCTGAACAAGACTGTACTCTCTCTATTTATTTATTTTTATTTCTTCATCACTTCATCACCCATCACTTCAATAAGGCAACTGTGGGAGTCTTACAAAATATAGCTACTCACCAATATCCTTCCTTCTTAAGGTACTGAACGTGGTCCTTGTAAAGGACAAAACTGATTTCTGCTTTTACTTTCTCCCCTTCTTCGATGGGATCAACCAGTAAGAAATCTCCTGGAGGGAGGGAGGGAGGGAGGGAGGAAAGACAGACAGCTGTGACAGGGGGAACAGGGGAACAGGGAGGTCCACTTTCCCTCCTGCAAATGCCAGGACCCCCAGCCACTCACCTCTCTTGATCCAGATGTTCTTACGGAACTTGTTGGGCATGCTGACCAGGAACCGCGTCCCCTCAGGGGTCTCCACTTCATGGAGGTTGTTTCCTGGTGTCCCGAGCACCTGGAGGGACAGAGCAAACTTGCCAGTAAGAACTCAGGACTGGTTTGTGGCTATTCGCATGGCACATTGAGACCCAGCTAGACCACGGATGGTGAATCTATGACACGTGTCAAGGATGACATGCCACAATATCGGGTGACACACTGGCATTCAACAACACCAGACAGCAACTATTCTTGAAAGCACACCCAATTCTTACAAAATTTTTAGAGGCCGAGGGAAAATCTTAGTGGGCTCTTATGCAGCCTCTAGACCAGGGGTGTCAAACTCGATTTCATTGAGGGCCGCATCAGGATTGTTTACTCACCTTGGGGGGCCAGTGGGTGTGTGGCCTGGGTGGGCATGGCCAGCTCAATGCCACTTGTGTCGGGGATGCCTGTGGTGGCCCGAGCGCTCTGCCAGCAAAAACAGGCTCCCAAGCTCAGTTTTCTGCTGTAACAGCCTCTGAAAACAGAGCTCGGGAGGGCTGCCCGCGGCCCTCCTGAACTCCATTTTTGCTGGCAGAGGCACCGTGGGCTGGTCCTTCACTGTTTCCAGGGTGGCCCTGTGGGCCAGATCTAACCACCCCGTGGGCCGGATCCACCCCCCCGGGCCTTGAGTTTGACACCCCTGCTCTGGGTGTCTACATAAAGATGTCTACATAAAGCTTTGAGAGATTCCGGCTAACTAGGTTAGGTTAAACAGTCTTACCCGGACAATCTGCTGCCTCTCTGAAGGAATCACATATTCCTCTAGCACTTCTTTGACCACGTGTTTGCGTTTGGTCGCCTGGGACATGATGTTCTGTTAGCCACCGTAAAGAATTTCTGTGCCAAAATGAATTGCTTCCAGGATGCGTCCACAATGCTGAAGGCTGCAAAATGCCATTAAAAATTGACTTTCGAAAGGGAGAAAGCAAGCAGCTTTGGACACTTGACCTGACCTGCAGACAGCTCACTACTTACATTGGGCAAGGTCAGGGCAAAAAATTCTTTAATTCTTTAATTAATTTAAAAAATCCTTTAATTAAACTAAAATCACACTAAAAGGCAGCTCCATTTTTAAAAAATAATATGTAGTATGCAACAAAAGTAATATGTTGATGGCAACTTTTAGAGCTGCTCCTCAGGCTCCACTGAATATTTCCGGTTGTTTCTCTGGAGCTTAAAGGTAAGGAGCTCTGCCCTCTATTTGCAGGAGCAAAGGATCATAACCTTATGTTGTCGCAGCAAAGATTTATTCAAGCCTATACATAATTTTTTTAAAAAGATAAAGAAATACAGGTAGTCCTTGACATACATCAGTTCGTTTAGTGATCTTCAAAGTTACAACGGCAGTGAAAAAAGTGACTTAGGACCATTTCCCACACATATGACTGGGCAGCAGCTTGATGGTCACATGATCAAAATTTGAACACTTGACCACTGACTCGTATTTATGACGGTTGCAGTGTTCCAAGGACACGTGATCCCTTTTCCTGACCTTTTGACAAGCAAAGTCAATAGCGAAACCAGATTCACTTAACAACTGTGACTAACTTAATCACAGCAATGATTCATTTAAGAACGGTGGCAAGAAAGATCATAAAATTCTCTTAACAGATGTCTCGCATAGCAACAAAATTTTGGGCTCAATTACAGTTGTAAATCGAGGACTACCTGTAGACATTCCTTCAGTTTGGAGATTCAAGAGACAGACCTGTTTCCAGGACCAGCCAATGTCGTTGCAGATGAAGGAATGTGGATCCAGTGCTGATTTCACTCCTTGGTTCATTCACACTTGTGGAGGAGCTGGGGGATGGGGATGAAGAGGAAATTATTAGATTTTTAAAAGCCTCATCATTAAGAGAGTCTGAGTGGCGCAGCAGATTATGCTACTATTAAAGGTAGCATTTAGCTTCCAGCTGCCTGCAATTACTGTGAGTTCAATTCTCACCAGGCTCAAGGTTGACTCAGCCTTCCATCCTTTCTAAGGTAGGTAAAATGAGGACCCAGATGGTGGGGGCAATAAGCTGACTTTGTATAAAATATACAATAGTCTAGAAGGCTATTGCTTAACGCCTTCTAAGCCACCCTGAGTCTCCGGAGAAGGGCGGCATATAAATCATTTTTTTTTAAGAAAGAGATGTTATTCCCCATATTCCCCATGATGATTATGATTACTTTTTAATCACCATTGAGTCATTGCTCTGTTAATGACATTTTCCACATTTTTTGTACCAGTTTTACATAACCTGAGAGTACAGGAATACAACAACAAAGAATGGATTAACCAATGAATTGAATTGAATATTTTATTTGGCCAAGTGTGATTAGACACACAAGGAATTTGTCTCAGCTACAAAAGCACTGAGTGTACAAAGCAAAATAATAATAATAAAAGTAAAAGTAAAAATAAAAATAAAAATTACAATTTATTGACATCACGGTACCAGGAGACACCAGAGTCGAAGAAAAAGAACTGGAAAAAATCATGAACTATCGCAACCTGGCCATCGAAACTACACGGCTATGGCTGAAACATGTAACAGTGACACCCGTTGTCATCGTAGCACTTGATACCATGTCCAAGAATTTTATAAGATACATCAACAAATTGCCGCTTCCTGCAATAACACCAGCGGAACTGCAAAAAACTGCGTGGAACATGGTACATCTTAAGAAGGTACTTGGTTGATCCTTAGGACGCTGGCAGCAACCATCAGCACCAGTCCATGGTATTTGCCATTCAGTTAGGATTAGAATTTATTAAGGATTTGTTAGAATTGGTTCACGAAGAATAGCAACAACAACAAAGGAGGCCAAGGACACGTGCAGAGGGCAAGCTCCCCTTCCTCACCGTCTTCGGGACCCGAACTCTCCTAACAATTATCCGACCATCCCGACTCCAAACGGGCCCCATCAAAGTAGCAGCGAGTCCCGCAGGCACAGCGGAAGCCCCCTTTCCCATATCCCTGGACTTCCCCGGCTTCCAAACCGGCTCACGGGCGGCCAACAGCCCCGCGGAGCCCCACCCGCAATCCCCGTGAAAATACCCGGCCTCCCAGCCCCCCCCCAGCCCGGCTCTGCCCACCGTACCTGCTTAGGGACCACCGCCTCGCGTCTCCTACGAAACGAGAGAAGCGTGACTTCCGGCTTCCGGTTCTGAGGGACCTACTTCCGGGTACAGCGGTTTAATCGGTCCTGCCGGGCCGCAGGGCTGCAGAGGGAGCCGTTCCGCCTCGGTTGAAGGACCCCGGGGAGGCTCAGCCAGTTGCTAATACGGGACGGTGGGGGTCTGGTTGGGAGGGGAGTTGTAGTTATGGAGCAGCCCTTTCTGAGGTGGCTGGAGGCAGAGTTTCCGGGCCATTTCAAGAGGGATGGACTTCCACTCCCAGAATCCCCCAGCCAGCAAGCTTTAAGATGGGAGAACTTCAACTCCCAGAATTCCCCAGCCAGCATGCTTTAAGATGGGTGGACCTCAACTCCCAGAATCCCCCAGCCAGCAAGCTTTAAGATGGGAGAACTTCAACTCTCAGAATTCCCCAGCCAGCATGCTTTAAGATGGGTGGACCTCAACTCCCAGAATTCCCTAGCCAGCATGCTTTAAGATGGGTGGACTTCAACTCCCAGAATCCCCCAGCCAGCATGCTTTAAGATGGGAGAACTTCAACTCCCAGAATTCCCCAGCCAGCAAGCTTTAAGATGGGAGAACTTCAACTCCCAGAATCCCCCAGCCAGCATGCTTTAAGATGGGTGGACTTCAGCTCCCAGAATCCCCCAGCCAGCATGCTTTAAGAGTGGGGAAGGGGGGCTTCAACTCCCAGAATTCCCTAGCCAGCATGCTTTAAGATGGGTGGACTTCAACTCCCAGAATCCCCCAGCCAGCATGCTTTAAGATGGGAGAATTTCAACTCCCAGAATTCCCCAGCCAGCAAGCTTTAAGATGGGAGAACTTCAACTCCCAGAATCCCCCAGCCAGCATGCTTTAAGATGGGTGGACTTCAGCTCCCAGAATCCCCCAGCCAGCATGCTTTAAGAGTGGGGAAGGGGGGCTTCAACTCCCAGAATTCCCTAGCCAGCATGCTTTAAGATGGGTGGACCTCAACTCCCAGAATTCCCCAGCCTGCTCTGAATTTAAGTCCACATTCTTAATGCTGAGAAACATTGCTTTAAACTATAAACTGAAAGGGTCCCTGAAGCTGAAAGAGCTGAAAGGCTTAGAGCATACACAGAGTGTAACCTAATTCAGCTTTTCTTAATTGCTGTTGAAAGAAGCGCCATTCTAAGGTGCCAACTGTAGAGATAAAACTTCTAGGCGAATTGCCAAGCTTAGCCTAGCAAAGTAACTTCTTGTGAAAAATAATTCTGCCAAGTAACCTTGCTTGTAACTGAAAAAAGTTTTTGTTGCGCACACCTTCTTTTCTCTCTGCCTGCTCTGTTATGGTGAGAGACAAAAAGGCCGTCCAGTCTTTTTGCTTTCTGCATAAAATAAAAACTGATTATCAGTAGCCTTGTGTTCAGAGTTTCATTGGATTTATCAGATTCTGAGCTGCCTTCAAAAATGTTACATATAAACCACTAATTTCATTGATCCTTATGTTGTAGTGCGGGAATAACGAGAGGCACAAGCAAGTTAGTGACAACAGCTCTTTAATTCAGGGTGAGACTTCAGCAAAGAAACACAGGCAACAGTCCTCTTTATATACTTTTCAGAGGCAACCATGAACCAATCAGAATTCACTGCACATTTGAATTTCCCGCACAAAATAGATACATACATAACACCCCTCCACTCCCAGAAGGCACTTATCCTATCTATTTACATATTTACATACAAAATCATGCAGGTGACTAGGGCATTTCTTGGTTCTGGTTAACCTGCGCAGTTCAGTTGTTGGCGAGGCGTCGAGCCAGTCAGAGGGACCTCCCATCTCTCCCGGCTCCGCCAATGGAACCTCCTGGATTTCTCCGGAGGTGTGGCTATCCCCGGCTGGGAGTGTTGACTCGCTGGGGCGGCGCTGGAACTCTGGGTTGCCAGATAAGTATTCCGGCTTACTCGGGCTTGAGGTAGCTGTGTCAGGAAAACTTTGGTAGTTAGGACTCACAGTAAATGAGTTTTCGTGTTGTAATCGTTTACGCAATTGATCTATATGTTTCCTCCAAATTTTACCATGCCCTATATCTACTGTGTATGATTTTGGACTGGTAATTCCTACGATGGTTCCCTCTACCCACAATGGCCCAGTTGATGTAGTTTCTGGCAAATACTGGTATTCCCACTTGGAATTGTCTTAGTCCTCCCCCTTCCCCCTTGAAGCCATCGGGGGAGTAATTGGGATGCAATCGATTGAGAATGCACCTTAGCTTTCGGCCCATTAAAATCTCGGCTGGGCTGCGGCTCGAGGTGGGGCACGGGGTGGCGTGCTGTACAGCTAAGAACTCATCTATCCTAGCCTACCAGTCCCCTGCATCGAGCCGGGAAAGAGCTTCCTTGGCCGTTCTCACAAATCTCTCTACAAGGCCATTTGAAGCCGGATGAAAAGGAGCGGATAATGCATGTCTTATGCCTAACTCGGCCAGGTAGCCCTCAAATTGAGTCGCCGTGAATTGGGGCCCATTGTCAGATACCAGGGTGTCCGGCAACCCGTGTGTTACAAACAGTTTTCTGAGTACTTTAATTACGGCCTCAGAAGTGGTAGATGGCATTAAGGCAATCTCGAGCCACTTAGAATATGCATCTACAATGATTAGAAAGTTCTGGCCATGGAACGGGCCAGCGAAATCGATGTGAATCCTCCCCCACGGTCCCTTTGTTTTTTCCCATTCCCAAACGGGAGCTATAGGAGGATCTGGACGGGATTCCTGGCAGGGCCTGCACTTCCCCACCCACTCAGTGACATCTTGGTCGAGATGTGGCCACCAAACATAACTACAAGCTAGGCCTTTCATGCGAACAATACCAGGGTGTCCCTCATGCAGCATTTCTAAAACCCTGTGCCTTAACCGCGAAGGAATGACCACCCTGTCTCCCCACAATAAGCAACACCCCAACAATGACAGTTCATTTTTCTTGTTAAAGTACAATTGAAAATCCCCACTGTCACCTTGGTAGGCCAACCCCGCATTACCCAGCCCATTACAGTGCACAAAACAGAGTCCCTGGCAGAAGCCTTTGCCACCTCGCTTGAAGAAATGGGGCCCGGGGACACAACGTCAATGAGTAAAACTGGGGCTTCTGGAGTCAGGTTGTCTAACAGTTCGGGCAAGGGGCATCGGCTGAGGGTGTCAGCATGTCCCAGAGTTCTGCCCGGCCGGTGGAGCAGTCTGTAGGACTAGGCAGCTAAGAAAATGGACCATCTGGTCATCCAGGGAGAAAGAGCAGCCGGGGTCGGTTTATCTCCAGCCAAAAGTCCCAAAAGAGGCTGGTGGTCCGTAATGAGTTCAAAAGTTCGGCCAAACAAGTATTCGTGAAATTTTTTGACCCCAGCTACAGCCGCTAATGCCTCCCTGTCCAGCTGGCTGTAGTTCCTTTCAGCACTAGATAAACTGCGAGAGTAATAGGCGATGGGCGCCTCTAACCCATTCGGCAGTCTATGGCTTAAAACTGCACCTATACCAAAGGGGGAAGTGTCACACACCAATACTAGAGGTAGTTCTGAATTGTATTGGATGAGGAAACTGTCCTCAGACAAAAGTTTCTTTACTGCGTCGAATGCAGCCGCTTCTCGTTTGCCCCACACCCAGGGAACATTTTTTCCAAGGAGCCTGTGCAGTGGCTCCGCAATGGTGGCTTTGTGTTTTAAAAACATGGTGTAGAAATTAAGAAGCCCCAAGAAGGCCTGCAGTTTGGGCTTCGATTTAGGGGTGAGCGCGTTCTGGATGGCCCTGACTTTGCTTTCTGTGGGGTGAATGCCTGTGCCGTCGATTTGGTAGCCTAAGAATTCCACTGATGGAACTGCTATTTTGCATTTTGCTCGTTTGAGTTTGAGTCCCGCTTCTCTGAATCTGGTTAGAACTTGTCTAACCCTATTTCCTAACTGTGTCTCGTCTTGGCCACTAATTAGGATGTCGTCGAAATAAGGGACGACTCCTGGGAGGCCTTGTAGAAGGCGCTCCATGGTACTCTGGAAGAGCCCTGGGGCGATGCTAACCCCAAACTGTAGTCTAGTGCATTTAAAGGCACCTCTGTGAGTTACTGTGGTCTGCGATTCTGCCGTAGCGTCATCTACTGGCAGCTGCTGGTACGCCTGCGCAAGGTCTAATTTTGCGAACAGCTTGCCAGGCCCCAGGGAGTGTAGTAGATGGTGGACGATCGGAACGGGATAGGCGCTCTGCTGCAACGCCTTATTGATCAAACACTTATAGTCAGTGCAAATTCTAATTGATCCGTCCAATTTAACTGGTGTGACTATTGGGGTTTCCCACTTAGCATGATCTACGGGAACTAACACCCCTTGCTTAATGAGCTTGTCGATCTCTGCATCAATTTTGGGCTTTAAAGCAAATGGAACCCGTCTTGATTTTAGCCTGATTGGCGCTACGTTGGGGTCTAAATTAAAGGAGATAGGGGTCCCCACGTACTTGCCTAGCGTCTCCTCAAAAACGTCCCGAAACTCGGACTTCCGGGTTTGTCTGCCACCGGCGAAGACGGTCGCTTTTGAAGGACCGCCAGCCCAGCCGCCTGTAGAGCCGCTCCGAGTGAGGGGAGCGGCTTGAAAACTCCTAAATCCTGAGGATTCGAGGAGAAGAGGGAAGCAAGAGGCAGGTCGAGCCCCTGTGAACCCCCAGAAGTTTGCTACTGGGGAGGAAACGGGCGCGGCTCCCTTTCAACTTGCGGAGACTCCGGACGGCGTGGGACGACTCTGCTTGTCAGAGCAAGCCGGCTGCAGCAAACATTCAAATTGATGAAAAATAATTTTACTACAAAACAACCTCAACCCCCAAACCAAGAAACTGCAAGTAACTTTTTGTTTCTGAACTTTTGATTTGGGAAAAGGCTAGAGTGAGCGGAACGGCTTGAAAAAAAATGGCGCCGTTCCAGCGTTAACGAGCTGAAAGGGAGAGTGATCTTGCAAAGCTATTTGAACAAGCTACATTGTAGCACTGCTTGTAGCAAGTGAACAGAGAAGAGTGGAAGAAAAAATTCCTTTTAACATAAACCTGAGCTTGCTTCAGCTTAC